GTCACTCTTATGGAAAGACAAATCTTGTATCAATGTGTAGATACTTCATTTTTCTTAACCTCTGAGCTAGTAGTAGGCTTTCTGATACAGTATAGCACTGGATTGCTGTCAACTGCATGAACGTAGGTCAGTGTCAACCTAGGAAGGAAGCACACTGAATGCAAAGAAACACTTGAGGATGTTGTCCATTCTGTTTTGCATAAGCTGTTACTGCAGTTTTAAAAGCTAAGATTGTCTTGTCTTTTAGATAGCAACCATCTGGATGTTAGTGAGAACAGACTTGTCAGGCTCCCTTACCCTCTGCGCCCCCCAGTGAACATCCCATGGGACTAAACTGTGTTCTTGCCTTCTCTGGCTCTGGTAGCAAGCTCTGTAACTGCAGCAGGCTGGTTTTTAAGTATACTGAAATAAATTAAAAATCAGGTGCTGTTTTTTAACTTGTGGTCCAAATTAGAGACAGAAGGTGTGCTGCCTGGGAACCAAAGGGTCTTACAATGCATTTGTACCTTACTTCTTCCTTTTTTTAAGTCTGTGTGAAAGAGATCTATGAGCACTGAAACCCAAAACTTCTCTGTTGAAATGGTGGAGAGGTGATGCACAGAAGTGTGAAAGCAATAATTATGTCTTAATAGTAGTATTATTTGCCGGTCAGCTGTTAAGAATTTCTTTCTTGGAAAAATGACTAATAAACTTTCCAGGGAAAGCAAGTAGCCTTTGAAATGCCCACTGTGCTCAAAAACCTGCTGACGTGTGTTCTGAATCCTTCCTGTTTTTACTGACTTGATTTGCAGTACTTGCAAATATTCCTGAAAGCATTTAAAAATGAGCTGAGTTAAAAGAAATGATTGTGTATTTCAATAAAGATAACAGAATGTGTGAGATTTCCTTCTGCTCCTGTTTGGATGTTTGCTTGAGGCTGGGGGAAGCTGTACTACTTTGGCACATACTTAAGCAATAAGACTTGTTAGTAATGTTTAAAATAGAACCTTTATAACTCTTTGTAAATGCTACATGGGAGGCAGAGGAATTGAATAGTTATACTTAAAATTTCAATAAGAACCTGATACAAAGACTTCTTCAACACACAGCTGGATTTGGACAACTATAGTGGTAGTCTTTGACTGCAATGCTCTTTCAAATTGCTCAGCTAATTAAGCAATAACATTTTTGAAAAGACAGTGATGTTCTGTTATTGCTAGGAACTAATAAGTCTTTAAGGAAGAGTTCTAGTGACTGTTACTTGGCTTAGTTTGTAAATCTGCCTGTTGTTGAGAACCTTCAGATTGCCTTCAGTTCTGCGTACAAGGGAGAGAAGCTTTTGAAAGCAGTGAGCTATTTTTTCTGTCTTAAAAGTGTTTCAGTTACTGATTTTGTAATAGTTCTTTGATAGCACATGATGGAGAATGAAGCTGCTTTTTTCCTTGTTCGTAGAATGGTGATATATTTTGAGCTTGATTGCATGGCATAGTTACCATCAAAAGTGCTTCAAATGCCCCAAGATCCAAGGACCTTGCTTATCTGAGCTCTTAAAATAGCGGTATCTTGGAAGGGCATAATGCTTTAAGTAGCTGGGTCCTAAACCTGAAAAAAGGAATTGCCAAACCGTGACAGATACTTTGCTATGAAAGTTCGTGTGGTTCGGAATATATGTACCTTCTGCTCTGTTCTTCATTAGGCAATTGTGTTGCAGTATTCTATACTCCCTTTTCCCTTCTGATCTCACAAAATCAACACCAGAGTTGTTTGAGAAGGTGAGAGAATAGGGTTTATACCTGTGGCTTTTGTGTGTTGCTGATGAATCGTACCCTAACAGGCAGCTGCAGTTCAGTCTCTTGGACTCCTGGGAACTCCAGTCTTGGAGACTGGTTGGGGTTTTTTTTTGCTTATGGTAAAGTTCATGTGAAGCTGCTTTCTGATGTCTTTTGGTGTATTTGTATCTGAGAGAAGCAACTAATGATATTAATCCTATTAAATACCATAGCAAGTCCTCAATTATGTGGTTTTCAGGCACTAGAGAAGCACTGATTAAAATGGATACAGCTGACTTAGCATCCCCTTCTGTGAATCATAGTAGTATCTGGTAAAGGTATCCAGCATCACCTGTTCCTTTTTTATCAGTCACCTGGAAAGAGCTGGCTTGTCATGAGTTGGCTTGTTCTTATTGCTAAGTAATATAAAGACCCACTGGTTTACTCACTGATTATTTCTTTTCCTTCCAGATCTCATGCAGAAGACCAATTGAAAATCAGATCCTAAAAGCTTATAGAAACTTTTCTTAAGCAGCTGAAAAATGTTTAAAAACTAAAGCCCTCACTCTACTTCTTCCTGCATTTTTTTTTTTTTCTGCCTCTCCTAAGGAATGTATCTTTGATCTGCACCTCCCTACCATGATGGGATGGGAGGAAGCTTCTGCTCTTTAGTACTGTTTTATTGGGAAAGTAGTAAAACAGGAGGTATTTATTTCCCCTGTTATAAATACAGAAAACTTTATTCTGTTGCTGCTCAAGCCATTGTTTGAAGGCCACAGGAGATAGACAGACATGGCTACATATCTACTTTTCCCTCTGGCCATATTGCTTCCAGAGAATGGGGAGGAGGGGGAAATGTGTGACCCACCTTCCCTATTCTACCCCCTCCTTCCCCAGCCTTCAGTCTGGATGTTTCAGCTGTGGTTCTTCTAATGTTAATTCAGATGTCTTGTAAAGCAAACTGCCCTGGATTTGCTTGCTGACACAGCAGGAAAATAGCCTTATGGCAGCAAACTGTAAATGTGACTTGAAGAAAATTTGTCTTTGGACAGCTTTCTGCAGAACTGATTGTTGTCAGAGGATCTTGACAGGATTCAGTGTAGCAGGATTTCAGTTACAAGTATCCTCAGTAACACTGTCTCATGTATCTAAGTAAAATGTGACATGTATTGGCTTCCGTGGTATGGACCTGAAGGCAACTTTTCCTTGTGCAGCATAAAAATAGCTTTAAGGTAAAGCTTCTTTTTCTTGGCAAATGATGTGCTGTCTGTGCCAGTTTAAAAAATAAAAAAAATTGAGTGTCTAAAGACTCAGATTTGAGGGTATCACTGTCTGTATTAAAATGGCAGTTGTGTGCTCAAATTTGTTTTCTCGGTTGAAATAAAAATAAATAAAAGAAGTTTCTAGTTTCAAAATAGAAAGTAACTCCCAAAATGCATTGTTGCAGCCTTTAGACGTAACTTTATTGTCTGCTTCAGTGTGTCAGTATGCTTTCTCTTGATTCACTAACACTGTGTGGTTTCACACATTGATGGTAGTGTTCACTCCTTCACGAACTGTAAATTTAGTTTATAGTGGTAAGGTTTCTGTTGTTTTTATACAGTCAGTGAATTTTGTGTAAAAAAAAAAAAAAAAAAAAAAAAATCTATGGGAGCTGTAGATGCGTGTGGCATGGGAAATCTAACGTGCTTCTGCAGCCGTGGATAAGAAGGAAGGAGGAGAAACTTAAATACTATTAAGATTCTTTATGATATATTTAGCTGCCTATTACATAAACCTGAAGTTAAAAAAAAAAAAAAATGAAGCTTGGAGCTTTTTTTGTAAAGGCAATGAGTTAGACATGTCCTATTTAAGCTTTACTTTATGCAGTGCTATTCTGGCTGAACTTGACCATCACTAAGGAATGCACGCTGGTCTGACAGACTAGTTATTCTGGGCCCAGAATGCAGAGGCTAAGGAGCTTACAGAGCTTTTTACACAGCAGCATCTCCCAAAATTTTGCTACCCTGACTGAACTCACTAGCATTCAGGCTTGCCTGATTTAGTGCACACTCCTTTCTCTCCTGATTTGGGGTAAGGAGAGAATGTTCTGCAAAAAGTGTATGTTCACATGTTGCATTTTTCTTCAGGAAAAGAAGTGGTCTGTCTGATGAGCTGTAAGCTGCTGTACTGTTCAATGTAGTTTTTACAAGCTTCTGAAATACAGCAATACTGCAACATAAAGCCAAACCGATTTGGGATGCATTTTTCTTCTAAAAGTGAAACACTTGTGAATACTATCATTTTACAAACACTTTAAAGCTCTCATAGTAATCTCATTTCATGTGTCTTTTCAGGGCTTTGGGATATACCTCTATCATTCTATTTTTCTAAAAAGACTTTCTGTTTTTATTTTGTTGCTACTGGGTTCTTTACTGTGATGTACTTCAGGAAGTGTGTTAAGACCTCTTACTGTGATAACGGTTTGATAATTGATTTAACAAAACGTGTACAGAAGACATATAGCTGCTCTTAAAAGAAACAGAAAAATCGAAATTGAGTAAACACATACGTACTGCCTCTTAGCAAGAAAACACTTTAATGACATAGCAGGATAATTCAGGGACTAGATGATAGCATTATTTCATGACTGTCCTTTAGGATAGATAATGGTAAATGGAATTAACGCTAAAATCTTCAGATTCTGTTTTTTTCCTTAATGAATTTCAGATTTAGATAAATATTTAAAATTAGTATCATGTGAATGTCTTGTTGATTCAGTGGCAGCTCAGCTTTTTTAGAATTACATATTTTTCTGTCTTGGGCCATTAGGAAGAGCTACAAGCTACCTGTGTTCTATGACTGGGAATAGTTGTTTTTAAAACCCAGGAGTTGTTTGATTGTCTGACATCTGTTGATGATGGTTTGTGATAACTTCCATGTATTCAGCAAAAATGATGTGAATACTTATAGTCCCTTAAGTCAGAAATCAGTGGATGTATTTAGTGTTTTGCTCACTATAGAGTAAATAAAAGCTGAAATAATACATTTAGAATTTGTGAGATTTAGGTACTGCAGTAGCTGAACCCTAAGTTTGTCCCTCTTCTGTAGGGTGGTACATAGTGAATCAAATGTCAATCTTAATTGCTAGGTATACCTGTAAGTCTCGTTACTGTAGGATGTGATGAGGTACCTCAGTGGAACTGAGGAAGGGAGGAGAACCAGTTATAGGAACAACATAGGCTTATTTATCCTTTGTTTCTTGCTTTCCAGGTGACAAGGCTCTGGATGGTTACAGTAAGAAAAAATATGTCTGCAAACTGCTTTTCATCTTTCTGCTGGGGCATGACATTGACTTTGGTCACATGGAGGCTGTAAACCTGCTCAGTTCCAATAGATATACAGAGAAACAAATTGTGAGTAACTAAGGGTCTGTAAAAGATAAGCTGTCCTGTTTGATATCCTGCCTCAGCGGTATAGTTTGTAAAGGGCTCTGCTTCATCACCACCACCCCCCTCCCCCCGGCTTAAAGCCTTATTTTAGATCTAGCCGTGGTTCTGAAATTCAAACAGCTTTGTGCACTGGGAATCTTGTACTAATTGTAAAAGCTAAAATGTGCACTCTCTTTAAAATTATTATTCTTGATAGAAACTGCCTTGAGCCTTGCATTAAAAGGTAAGTAATCTTTTAATTTTCAGAATATCTCTTTAAATCTTCCTAAGTAAGGTTGTGTTTATCAGGTACATGTAACTTACTAGTGTCTGAATAATAAGCCAAATTCTTGATTTGCTCCCATTCATCTAAAATAATCATTTGAATAAATGCTGAAATAGATTTATGAAATGCTTAAAAACTGATAAATTACACTAACGCTAAACTTACTCATTTTTGTTTACTTCACTTAATCTTTCTAGCCTTCGCTCTGCTATCTAAATATCTATTTCTGCCCTTGTATTTGGTATTGGAGAACTGTATGTCTCATAATTACTTGTAGCATTAATAGAAAACATAATTTAAGTCAGCTAAAATCAATTTTAATTTCCCTTTTTCTGAATCACAGGGATATCTCTTCATCTCCGTACTAGTGAACTCTAACAGTGAGCTCATCCGCTTAATAAACAATGCGATCAAGAATGACTTGGCCAGCCGCAACCCCACTTTCATGGGGCTTGCTCTGCATTGTATTGCTAATGTGGGTAGCCGGGAGATGGCGGAAGCATTTGCTGGAGAAATTCCAAAAATACTTGTAGCTGGGTAGGTATGACATGCCACCTTCAAATACAACACCAATAAACCTTTTCAGCAACTTGGTTCCATTGCAGCAGCTTAATCCATCCCTGGACTTGCAGTGCAAATAGTTACGATTTCCAATAACTGCAGATACTTTGATATACCTGAGCATGGAGTTGGGTGTATAAGTGTACAAATACAACATGAAAATTAACACTATGTCAATATCTTGAATAGGCTTTTACAGCTTTGTGTTGTGATCAAGTTTTTGTCCTGTGTAAATGTGTGGCAGTGAACACCTCTGAAATGTGTACGTTTTACTTTCCTTATCTCTCTTCATGAAAAGAAGAAATAAATGAACCTCAATAGATGTTTACACTACAAATTTTGTCATAAACTGAAGCTCTTATTTAAATAGTCCTGTCTTCATAAGGCACACAAGAATATTCTGCTGTGTGGCCTTTGCCAGGTGCTATTCTCCATCTAGCATAGTGGAGACAACACTGTGATGATGAGTCATGGGTTTTAATAAGATAACATTAGATTTCTGAAAATTTTACTTAGGGTCATCAGTCGCAGACAGAGCATAGCACCTTCAGTTCAGACTTGTTTGAACTTTTGAGCTGTGTTTACGTTCTGAGATCAGCCTTCAGGGCCTCATTCCTTCTGCATTTCTAAGAGAGTATATATAAAATGTGTATATGTACATGTCATATCTAAGTGATCTGTGCAGAGTGAGCACTGTCATCTACATTTGCAACTTTAGTGTAGCTCCCTTGGCTTGAATATAAGTGGGAGGGAGGGAGTAGGCAGGGAGGGGAGGAACAGGTTTGCTTTTTGTTTGTGGTTTTGTGTTTGTTTTTTTTTTTTAACCAGGGTACAACTTGATCTCATGGAAGATTGGTAAATTCATAAAGAATAGGTGGGCTGAACTTCTACTAGGGATGTGGAGATTTCTGAACATTTAACTGATTTTTAACAATTTAACCACAATTGCACAGTATAAACTACCTCTTAAAACTTTCAGTGCTCAGTACAGTTTTTAGCTTTTGTTTGTGCAAAATAAAAAATGCTTGATTGACTACTTTGTGAGAGGGAGTTCACTGAACTAGAATAGTAGCATAATGCTCTTAAAATAGTCCATTTCCATGCCAGCAGCATGGATGGCAAGATGAATGGATTTGTGGATTGCATGTTTGATAACAGCTACCTGACTTGCATGCTAGCTGTAGGTAGTGAAGCTGTTGAGTAGTTAATGATATGTATCTGATATGCAGGACCTACCAGAGGATCCAGCTTTGGTCATGTGCATAATATAGTGTATCTTAACTGTTTGACTTGAGCCAGTTTGGAAGAAGCCTGTTCTCATGATTAGATCAGCTTGTGCTTATCTAATGATGACCTTTCAATTATGATTAAAAAAAATGTGAAAAGTCACTCTTAAGTTGCAAAGAATCATTATAGAGGCTATTAGACATATGTCATTGACTAGTTAAACTTGCTGGAGAAAATTAAGAACAAATGCTGCAACATAGGAAGAATTTAGTGAACTTCTGTTTCAACTATTGTTGACAAAATGCTACCTGGCTCGGGATGCTGAGTCAGTGCAAAGTCTAGCATAATGCTGGCCAGAAAGTATTGCTGTGACTTAACCACTGTATTTTAAATCCAGAGATACTATGGATAGTGTGAAGCAGAGTGCTGCCTTATGCTTGCTGCGTTTATATAGAACTTCTCCTGACCTTGTTCCCATGGGAGACTGGACGTCTAGAGTGGTGCATCTCCTCAATGACCAGCACTTGGTAAATCAGCTTCATTATGCTTCTCAGGCCTACTCTATATGGAGAATTATGTCATTTCTGCTGTTAAATACACTATTAGTTTATTTTTTCTCTAGTCTTTCAAGCAAGTGGGTTGCTTTCAGGGTTGGAAAGAAATGAAAGGAGGAGTTGTCTTTTTTTAATTACTATATATATTAATTTTCAATAAACCTTTTCTTACCTTACTTGTTCTTGGAGATAAAAGAATGGTACATACCAGTTCTTCTTTTACTCTGGCTGTAAATAAATTAATCTTGTGCCCTGTGATCCCAAGTCACGTTGCATAGGTGTAATACTAATTTTCCTAGGCCTTTTAAGATCAGACCTGCACTAAAAATGCAAGGCCTGATTTGTCAGTGGTTGGACTTCCTTGTCCTGTGGTGTCCATGTTGTCATTCTTATCTTGTTGGTTCAGAAAAAACTTTTGTTCTAGATAAGAGACTCTTATTTTTCCCCCTGTCTAGCTACTTTATGAAATTAAGGTTATTAAGACCTGTGTTTCAGCAGTAAAAAGAGTGCTTTAGTGTGCAGTAATATAAAATGCTTGTGTTATACGAAGCTCTCTCTTCATGCTGGGTTGTCAGAATTCTTTCCTGGATGATCTGCTGCATCCTATTTCTTCTACTCATGCTTCTCTTCTGTAAGAAGACAATTTGCATCTAGACTTTATTTTAGTATAGCTCTCTGTTGTTTTAGATGTACTATCCAAACATGAGGCAATGCTAATACAAAAATAGCGTGAAATGCTCTGCAAGCATGGCAATATCATGTTGTTGAAATTCCTGTTGGATTTTGAAGATGTATAATAAGTCTAGCTGGTAGCCAAATAAAGGGCTTTTTAATGTGGGACTTTGTCATGGGGATAAACTTAGTTTTGCTGTATGTTGAAAAGTACTTGAAGTGAAAGGAGTTAATGGGCAGCATCTTAAACTGTTACAAAATTGAATGTATTGCTTTGGTTTTTTTCTAGGGTGTGGTTACAGCAGCTACAAGTCTGATCACGACTTTGGCACAGAAGAACCCAGAAGAGTTTAAAACTTCAGTCTCCTTGGCAGTGTCTAGATTGAGCAGAGTGAGTTCAATGATAACCCTGATAATACTTCACTGTTGCTTAATTTACTCAGCTTTCTAGGTCAGGTTAGTTAATGTACCATTAAAAGTGAAGATGATTCAGTTTCACTTCGTGTAGCTGGTTCAGCTAATCTCTTTTAACACCTGTTGCCTACCAGGGCAGAAAACTGTATTAGGTAGCCCAAACTTTCTCGGTGTAATCCTTGCTATGCTCCAAGTCTATGTAGCAAAAACGTGTTTTTCTCAGCTACTTTTATTTGAAAGAATCCTCGTGATACTGTTGATTTTTTTTTTTTTTTTTAATGCTCATTTTATGTTATTCTAACACCAAAGAGTATTTGGATCGAAGACTGATTTTTGCAAACTTTTCCACAGAACCCTCAAAAATACAGCCCATACTTTAAACTTTAAGCTTCTTACAAGATGAATCTTCTTCCTATTCCCTCTTTTGAGCTGCTGCTAGGCTAATAATTATAAGCATTTGATATTCTGTAGATGGCTGTAGGGGGTTAAGCAGGGGCAGAGGGTGCAGGGAGGAGTGGAGAGACGTTTCTGTAAGTTAGCATCTTCATGCTGGAAAACTTTGTTACTGTTTTGTCTGATTTGTCTTTTGGAAGGTATGCAAGACATGGGAGGATATTACTTCAAGGGTATTTTAGAACAAGATTTATCAGTATTATATCCAAAATTACTTGTAGTTCAGAGAAATTTCATTTCTCTTGAAATATGAAGATTTTGTCTAATACTTAAAAAGCAAGGGAGTGCTGAGGGAAGCGCAATGCTATCTGTTATGGAGCAGCAAGAATTAGATAAAACTTCAAGCGTAGCTAGTGCCAAACTCATGCTGGCCCTAGAAGCAGAGGGGGAAAAGAAAACCATGAAGAGGGATAATCTCTGTTCTTTGCTCTGGAGTATCAATATTACTCAAGGTATTAGTTGGTCCTTCTGCTTTAGTTCAGTCTGTTATAGCATCTTGTGCTTGAATTCCAAGTCAACTATAGCACTGTATTAGGCTTTCTCTTGGCTGAATCTATGAATTGCTG